TGTGTGTGTGTGTGTGTGCGCGCTACGACGTGAGGATGCCAGCAGCAGCCGCCTGCGAGTCGACCAACAGCATGCGCCAGAGCTTCTCGACAAACGCTTCGGCCTCGTCGTCGAGGACTGGCTCGACGACCTCGACGAGCGCACTTGCACTTGCGTGCGACTGGATCGTCTCGACCACCACATTCACCAGCTCGTCCACCTTTTCGCCCAGACTCTCCTCGATCTGCGCATCCACCCAGCTGCGGTACTTGCGCACCATGGCGGCGTCGATCCACTCCCACCCCGGCGTCTGCGCCAGCAACTCGGCCGTATCCGAGGGCAACCCCGCCGCAATCGCCGCCAGCTTTTCCGCACGCTCGCGCGCAGAGAGCGACTCGCCAAGATGGATGTGCTTGAGCCCGCGTTTGGTCTGCTCGTCTTCCTCCTCCCCCAACACCTTGACCGCACTGCCGGTGGCCGAGGGGCCGGCTTCGGTACCGGTGAATGTGATCTTGATGGGCGCGAGGGAGCTGTCGACCAGCACGCCCGCTGCACGCTGCTGCTGCGTAAGCCGCGCCATGTCCGCCGCCTGCTGCGCGAGGAACGTCTCGGACTCGTGTTGGGCACGCGCTTTCTCGTCCTGCTCCAACTCGCGGTCGCGTGCATCCGCTTCTTGCTCTCTGCGCCGTGCGGGTGCACGGAATTGCCGCCACCGTGGACGGTCGGTGTAGAAGAGCTCCTTGCGCGTGGCGTTCTCGTCGCTCCAGTCGGTCCATCGCCGCAGCTGTGACGCTGCATCCCTCTCCCACCGCTCCGCCTCGGCCGCTTGTCGGTCCGACTCCTTCTGCCAGTGCGTCAACCTCTGCCGCTCGCGCACGAGATACGCACGCTCGGCATCGGATGCCGCCGCGCGTGCAGCAGCTTGCGCGCGCTCCCGCCGCTCGTCCTCTGCCACTTGATCTGCATCCTCGGGCTCCCGGACGATGTCCGCCTGCGCATCGTACGAACTCGCCGCATGAAAGTCCACCGGCTTGCGATAGCTCTGTGCATCCTCGCCGTTTCGGGAGGATGACGCTTGCAGGTCCGCACGCCGCGCACGCTCCACCGCACGTTGGCGCTCGAACTCGGCTTCTCTCCGGCGCGTCTCGGCGTCGCGCGCCGCGGCAGCGAGTCGGAACTGCTCGATCTCGGACAGCACCGTAGCGCGCTGGTCTTCGGGCAACTCCTCGGGCGGCAAATCCTTAAGATGATCGGGCACGACGTATCCAGGCCTCGACGCGTCCACCTCGACCTCTGCGTTGGGATCCGACATGTTGCGGACGACGTGCCTGACAGCGGCGAGCGCGCGGTCGTCGTTGGCGCGATCGCTGGCGCTCGCCACGCGCGTGTGCTGGTACTTGTCGAGGAACCTTTTCGTGCGCTCGTCCGCCTTGACGACGAGCTTCTTGGGTGGCGCTGATGCCTCGGCTCCCATGGAGGGCAGTTGGAGGCCCTGGAGCACGTGGATGGCACGCAGCACCGAGTCCGGGTCGGCGTACTCGGCAAAGCCAAACGCCTTGGATGCGCGCTTGAGCGAGCGCAGGTGGCCGCACGCTTCGAGCAGCCGTGTGAGCCACGAGTCCGAGATGCCCGGCGAGATGCTGCCCACAAACAGCGTGGTGGCCACCTCGGGTGTGCTCGACGACGCCGCCCCACCGTTGGACTCCGAGGCGGGACTGTGCGAGCCCGCAAAGGGCGAGGCGTGCGTGTGCGGACTACCGTATGCCGAGTGTGATGGGGGCGCGGTTTGGCCATAGGCGGGAGGCACGTGGGAGCTGCTGCTGCTGCCTATACCGCCGCGCGGACGAGGTGGGAGCGGCGCCATGTTGGGGTTGTGGGAGCCGTGCCAGTTGGAGCCATAGCCGCGGCGCGACATGGTGGGCGCTGCTGGTCTTCCCGGGCAGTGGGCCGTGGTGATGTCGGATCAAAGCCGGCTGAGTCCTGGGTCGATGTGAGCAGTTGTCGAGGAGGAGGAGGAGAGGCAGGGAGCAAGAAGGGTCTTGGTCTTGTCTGCGCAGAAGTTGCCGGGGCCCAAGTGCGGAAGAGCCGACAAAATATCGCGAGGGTCTGATTGGGAGCCGATGTGCTCACCGATCTGTCTCGATCGGCCAGATCCAACTGTGGGAGAGCGGAGAGACAGAGCCCACAACGACGTGGAAGCTGTGCGCGAAATTCCAAAATGCAGAGAGAGCGGCGCGCTGCGTTGCAGTTGGAGCGGCGAGCGTGGCGTGTGCGCTGCGTCTCCCCGCCAAGCCGCCAGCCAGTCAGAATCAGAAGCAAGAGCTGCCAGGTGTCGTGTTTCTGAGCCCCGCCCGCCAAAGCCAAAAGCCAGAGCCAAGGCCAAGAGAGAGAGAGAGAGAGAGAGACACCGAGCTGGCCGTGCGCGGAGTGAGGGAGAGAGAGAGGGTGTGTGTGTGTGTGTGTGTGTGTGT